AAACGAACGAACGAACTAGAAAAAGAGAGCTTAGAGAGAGAGAGAGAGAGAATGATAGAAAAGGTTGCACGGAAACGTGGCCAGAGGCTTTTCGAAACTAATAATGGAAAATGTTCGTCAAAAAAAAAAAAAGGAAAGAACGAAAAAAAAGGAGGAAGAAGTAAAAAACATAGGCTAGTAACTTTCGGGCTTCGTGTGGTAACGATCGGAAAATTGGTTACTACCTCTTCTTCTCTTTCTCTCTCTCTCTTTTTCCCGTTCACTATTTTTCGTTACCTTAAACTAATAATAGAAAATGTTTATTAAAAGTACGTACGTACCCCACGCATAGGATGTACGCTTAATTTAAAAATATACTACTACTACTACTGCTGCTACTGCACGTGATGGTAAGTAAATCCAGTTGAAGCGCGAGTTCCATATTTTTACGAAACATTTGTATAGTTTTTGTATTCTTCTTTGATAATTTTCTATCCAGAAAAGATTACAAAAAGGTAGTATTATAAAGTAAAAAATATAGAAAATAGATAGAAGGAAAGATTCGATGAACATTGTCGGAAACTTATCGAAAATCGCGTTGTGCGAAACTTTTATATAATTAACATTATCATATTTCTACTATTGTTTCTTTTTATTTTCATTCATTTTTTTATTTCCTCTCTCTCTCTCTCTCTAAATAATACTTTTTATCTCTCTACGATAATCTATATCTCGTTTGGCTCGCAACGAAAAAAAGAAAAAGAAATATCTCGCGTGTCTCTTTTTTTTTTATGATTTTCTTTTTATACACGCATTATCTTCCACGTGTCGTTTTACTCGTCGGACTGTGAGATATCATAGTTATCGTTTAAAAAAAAAAAAATAAAGATAAAAAATAAAAATGAAATTGTTACGAACCAACCAACCGACCAACCAACCGACCAACCAACCAACCAGAGTCGATGGTAACAAACGAAATTTATCTGCCGTGCTCGCTGCATTGCAGATATAATCCCGTGCTCGTGCATCCTCCATTAATCCCATGATGCGTAATAATTGGTTCCCTTTATTCTGTACCGTATCCGGATTTGCAGCATATTAATGTACCGATAACGAGTTTTAGACAAAACCAATATGAAAGGCCACATCGAACCTTCCAGGCACCTCTCGCGATATCCAAAATTATGGGCATGCAGATAACAAAATACAATTGACCCTTTTTTTTTTTTCTTTCTCTTCCTTTTTTTTTCTTTTCAACTCTCTCTCTCTCTCCCTTTTTTTATCGGTAGGAACGAACGGAAATCGATAAGAGAAACTGCCACGATGATTATTATCTTTTTCCATTGGTACTATACTACTAGCAAAAGCAATTCTATCTATCGATCTTTCAAATTTTATCCAACAAAAATTCGTCCATTTAATGGCTCGTGTATTAAAAACGCATCAAGTGTATTCTTTACTTTATCGATCAGATATTCGTAAACAAGAAAATAATTAACGATACAATTTGTTGTCTATGCATCGTGTAAAGCTTTATTAATCAGAAAAAGAAAACTCGTATTTTGCCGTTCGAATTGTGAATCGAATTTTGGCCTAAATGTTACCCTAAGATGATATGATAATCTAAATATGATTTCAAATGAAATATCAAGTAAATTGTGTGTGTGTATATAGCAATGAATACTAAATAACTTAAATAATAAGTAAACGCGTATTAAGAGAAAATTTAGGAATTCATTTTATTGCCAATTTTTCGGGTCACTTTTTTTTTTCTTTCTATACGAACACATAGAAAAAAGTGTGTTCAGTTTGAACGTCGAAATTTCTATCTCGGAAACGGGGAAAAAGATGAAGGTAGGAAAAATTGCGTTTGTTATCTTTATAGGAAGTAACGATAAAAGTGCATCACACGATATTACTACTAGATATTTTAAATCAATCTCTTGGCGACGTTTTTTTTTGCCTTCGATTCTAGTCTGGTGATAAAATCGTAAAGAAGACAGATAAAGCTTGTCCATGTACGTGTGCGTGTATCTATGTGTGTGTGTGTGTTTCGATCGATTTTTTATTACAGCCAAAGGTCAGACGGGGAAAAAAAATAAAATAAAAGAAAAAAAAAAAGTGAATGAGAGAGAAAAAATAACTCTAAACGTGTTGGCTGAGATTATCTTAAACCACGGTCAGTCTCTGACGATGCAATTCGACTAAATCAGACTGCATTATGCATTGGTTTTCCCCTTCGAAACTGTGACCTCACGATTCTGAGGTTGAACTCGTCGATGGGTTTAACTATCAGGAAAATCTTTATTTCAAATTCTAAAATCAATCGAAGAAAAAGTATACGAACGTTTGCGTGATGCATTTGTACGCATAAGTACGTAAGTTTTGTAGATATGTAACAGTGATTTGTTTTAATATTCCAATGCCATGACTTTTTAAATACCGTCTAAAAACGTTCCAATTTTCTATGCGTTAATCTCTCATCAAAAATGACGGGACAATTAAAATAAACACAATGGTAAATACGTTAATTAATCATTGAAATTCGTATTGTAACAACAAGTAAATAAAAAAAGAACGATTTATATCCGTAGAAACGCGTTATATTTTTGTATTCCTACGTAATTTTCCAGTAGGATTCATAAGAGAAGAAGAAGAAGAAGAAGAAGAAAAAAAATGTTGAAGAAGGAAAAAAAAAAGCTTAATAGAGAACCGGAGCTAATCTCGCAACAGACGACGGGTTGTTGGTTGAAAAGTGGTGTTGGTGGTGATGCTAGTAAAGGATTCTCTTCTTATAAAGATTAGAATAGTGTGGTGATATTAGTTGGTAGTGGTGGTGGTAGGGAAAAGATAAACGAGACAAATGGCTGGCGCGAAACATTTTTTCTTTTTCTCTTTCTATTACTATTTTTATTTCTTTTCACTCACACCCCCCGGCCCCCTTGTTCACTTCTTTTCGTTTCGTTTCTTCTTATCGTTAGAAAAACGTTTCACTTTTAGCTCGTGTCTTTCTCTCTCTTTCGTTTTCTTCTTACCCGCTGCAATCTTCAATAGAAAGGGAAACTACACAAAAGGGTTCTCGTTTTTACTTCGAACGTTTTCACACTTCCGTATTTTCTTCTTTCTAAAGCAGCTCTACGATTCCTTTTCAGTTAAAAACAGAGAGAGAGAGAGAGAGAAAAGCTAGTCAAAGAAAAGGTGTTCTGTATTTTCTCGTTAAGCTATTCCAGCACGAAAGAATTATAGAAAGCAGCAGGTGCCGGCACGCTTGAGACCAGTTTGCCGGTGACGTTTTATAAACTTACGAGAAAAATATACCTTTGGTACGTTGAATAAGTCATTTTCTTCCTTCCTTTCTTTCTTTTTCTTTTTCTTTACTTACTTACTTGAGAAACAACGTTTTATATATCTGTTACCGTCATAGCCGGAATTCCGGCATTTGCTAGTAATTCCTCGGCATTCTCATCAATGCAAAGAGCATTCTGACCAAGTCGGAAATAAGATTTTTTACAGAGTTTTTCCTAAGCATCGAATTTTTAGTTGAAGTATAATATTTGTATTTTTATTTCTCAGTTGCTTTTCTATATAATACTTATTTTGTTTATACGCGAGAGAAAGAAAACGAAAAAAAGATCATTTTCGATATATTATATAATATTATATATTATAATTCAGCTTTCAGTAAACTTCGACGTAAAGAAAGAATTGATTTATTAGTATCTTGTCAACTGATTTTACTTTGTCATCCTAAGCTTTTATCAAAATTTGATTGATTCGTCGAAATCGACGTTAAATTTTCTATAACTTTGTATTACTTTGAATTCACGAGATTAATCAAAAGTATTATTTTTAGTCATCATATTTTTTATTACATTTTATTGTACTATAAAGATATCGGAAAATTGTTAATATTATAAATCTAAATAAATATTATCAAATATAATGAATATTATTGTAACAATGAATTTAAATAATCACATGAATTACTTTGTAACTGTACTAATGTACAAAATTTAACATTAGATATATATCATTTTGAAGTCAAAAGAATATATAAGTTATGTAAAGAATTATAATGATTCGTTTGAATCTTTTTGTTAGACTAGCAAGATTGGTAATTTTTTGTTATCTTCTTTTATTCGTTAATGGAATAATAGAATTTAATTAACGAATAACTCGTTCGTTATATTCAAACGTAAATGAATTTTCTCTCTCTCTCTCTCTCTCTCTCTCTTATTTTTCTTTTTTTAATTTTCTAATTTTTTCTTTCGTTTTTCTTTCGGTTTTACTTTTTCTGGCTATTGTCCAATCTGCATATCTAGTCCACGATGCGAAACTACTTTTCAACGAAGATATGCAATTTCATTCCTTCGGATCTCGTCCGTACGAGAGATCTCGTTAAAGTCCCTCATTAAAGTACAATGAAAATCACTGAAAATGACGCTACGGTTTTATAACGTAGTATAACATTCCTTGTTTCCTTTTTTAAATACGTTGTTGCACGACTGGCGTTTCGATCGATATTTAAACAAGAAAGCCATATTCTTTCGTGACTCGTCAAATTTTCGAATTACAACACGAATATAATAAAAAATGTATTTTATTTCAAACAAAAATATATATATATAATATTGATTTTCATTGAATAGTATAAAAAAGTAAAAGAAATATTGAAAAGCTCAACATTGTCGAGTGAAAAAGTTTTGTAAGAGAATACCGAAAAAAAAGAAAAAATCGGTCGACCACCGTAGGAATATCGAAACGTACTTATTATATACTGATCAACAGGTGTCATAGAAGACGATCTACGTATAAATAAAGATAACAGGGGGGAAAAAAAACGCGTTGATTTTATTTCCAAGTAAAAGATTCGATCTTCGTTACTTGGATTCTCACTTTGATCGTTCGCAAGATGAAATAAACGAGCTTACGCGTTCGATTCGTTCCAAATGCACGATGTGCTATAGAAAAAAGACAAAAAAAAATAAAGTAATAATAGAATAAATAAATTGTACACTTACATGTATCGGCAAGCAATTGCGGAAGATATCTTTTCCAAAACGCGCACTGTCTCGTTCTGATGCCATAACCGACGTCAGAATTGTTGGTGTCAAGAGTTAAATATTCCTTTTTAGCGGCAGTGTGAATCGGCCAATGAGGAAGCGTCCAAGAGGTCGAGTCACCGAGATTGGGATCTCTGTAAAAAGAAACAAAATATTCGAATAGATAGTTTTTCGTCGAATTTATTTATATTATTTTCATCATTCGTATTTGAATAAAAACTTACCCAGTTTTAGCAAAATTAGCCCAATACTTCATCATTCTTTTCGATAATAAAACTTCTTCTTCCGTGTATCCCCTAGAAGAGTCTAAAGGTTCCCCGAATATATAATTGATCTCATCGGCGTGCATAACACCTGTCCATTTTGGCCAAGGATTGTTCGCTGATCTGAAGAAAAAAGAAAAAGGAAAAAAAAAAGCACAGAGAAAGAATCCGAAGAAGTCTTCAGGATAGACTGAACGAGCTTTAAATGTAAGTCAACGAACAGTTCCCATCATTTAAACATATACATGAATATCATTTTATACATGTAAAAGGAAGAAAGAAATAATCGAATACGATTTTGACGTAGATTTAAAGAGCCTACTAGTAACTTAAAGAGCCCACTCGAGAAGATTAGTCCCGCGTATAATAATAATAATAATAATCATCATCAATTGTGGAATCGTTGAGAAGCGTGCTTACCTGTGCTTGTAGTAGTACATGTAGACGGTATTTTCGGTGTCAGCGTATCGGTTAGCAAATTCATTGACGTTGCAGGTGAACTGATAATCACCGACCAATTTGTCTATGGCATCGCGATTGATGTGCGGATCGTCGGGATGAAGCCAATCGGTGTATTCGTATATAATAGCGTTACGTCCTATTTGATTAACGTAAGGATTCAATTCGGATACGGCATTGACGAATTGTTCTCTGGTAACTTTGACGTCCTCGGTACCATCGATTCGGAATAATTCGGTAAGATAATAGATGATAAAGTAGATCCCTTCTTCGGTATTAGAGCCCATCAGGATGTTAGCCTTTTTAAAGGAGGAAGTGGCCAAGGAACGTTGCGGGGTTTCGTCGAGAAACGTCCCATCGATAACGGGTACGAAAGGAAACTCGCATATACCCAATGTACCCCATTCGCTTTCCACCAAATCTTTCGGATCCTTAGCTATCAGACAATCGATAACGTCCTGCAAATGATCCCGATCGTGTGGACAACCAACGGCTTCCGCTAGCCTGATCCCTCGTACTATAGATTCCTCTCGTGAAATAATAGCCCAGGGGGCCGTTGCTGAACCCGATTGCATTATCGCCTGATTGAAGAGGTGCCTGAAAAAGCCGAGACGAGAAGCCCTCTTGTGTCTTTCCTTTATATCTCTTTATCTTTCTTTTTATCTATCTTTTTTTTTTTTACTTTTTTTTTTTACGTTTTTTTTTTCTCACTTTGTCAACCCTGATCTAGCGAGGTAGTAGTACCTGGACAATGGCGATAGAAGGTGCATGGAAACGGACACGGCCCCAGCGCTTTCACCGAACAGGGTCACGTTGTCAGGATTCCCACCGAAAGCACCGATATTGTCGCGTATCCATTGGAGGGCCATTATTTGATCGAACAGACCGGCATTACCGGGAACGTCTGATGTTCCGAAATAGAGGAAACCTAAACTGGCGAGTCGGTATTGCATCGAGACGAGAATTATGTTCTCTTCGGAGACCAACGTTTTGTGATCGTAAACGTCCAACGTAGCTGTGCCGGAATAAAAACCACCTGAAATGATTTTTCCACGCTATACCTAAATTTATATTCTTCTTATTCTTCTTTCATGTCTTCGAACCCATCCCTCCCACTTCGTTTTTTCCTTTTAATATATTAATTCTTGTTATATTGGAAAAGTATTTTCAAATAGGTCAAAAAACTCACCACCAAATATCCATACCATAACAGCGGCGTTAGTAGGCCTAGGTCGTGGTGCTACCACGTTAATGTAAAGACAATCCTCGCTTAGAGGTGTGTTAGGATTCCACATGGTGGCACCTGAAAAATCCCCGAACACCGTGTCGAGAATTTGGACGCAACTGTTTGGCAAAGTAGTCGTATTGAGGACACCGTTCCAACGTTCGGCAGGTCTTGGATGTCGAAATCTTAGTGGTCCTATAATTCAATATTAATAAGTGATAATAACAATAATAACAAGAAAATAAGGAACCACAATTATACGAAAGAGAAGAAATTGGTAGGGACGAAAATAACGATGCAATGTTAACACTAGATTTACGAATATTTTGTTCATTATTTTATAACGATTTGCAAACGTTATTTGAAGAAATGAATATTAACTAAAAACCAACACATATGTTTTTAACAAATAATATTTAAGTTTAATATATATATAATAATCAAATTGGCTCAGTGTCGGTAAATCTAATGTTAACACGTTCCGTGCCAAGCCATTTTTACCTGACTTGTCGTTCAGGCCATTTGATATTTAACGCATTCAAATAAATATGGCTGCGCGTACCACTGGTGGTACACGTACGTTAAATTTGATCTTCAGGATCACCGGAAAAAAATGTTCAAGATACGTATCACCTACCCAAAGGTTTTTGCGCATAAGGTATGCCAAACCAAGCATCAACTTCCTTTCCAGTCATTGCTGTGAATGTCTTGCCTCTGACTTTGCCTTTCCTAGTTTGTACGATCAATGGATCATCGTTAGGATTTGAACCAAGAGCTTCCGCTCTCGGATAATGTTCATCCTGTCGGAAATTTTTCACTTCCTCGTGAGAAAGCTCAGCGTGGTGTCTGCTTCTATGAGATAACGAACACCAACAGATGTCGAGGTAGACGAGCATGACTAAACTTAGCAGCATCAGTGCTTCGATTCTGGGAAATGTACTACGACTTCTTGGCATCCTGTTCTCGCCTAAGATCAAACAAAACCAAAACGTACGTATTCTTTTTCTTTTTTTTTTTTTTTATCATTATTTCATTGATCAATTTTTCAATGTGCAACGGATAAACGATTATTTGATGCATTAGATAAAAATCTCATGCATATAATATAATTTGTGTTTCATTACAGTTTTATTTGTTTTAATAATCAGTATTATTATTATTATTATCTCGAATTTTTCTCAACTATACAAAAATTGTTTTTCCCCATAGACTTTAATACTTCATTTTGCAAGATTATTGAAAGCGAATCACCGACGATAATACACGTCGGTGTCAATGTATTATGCGAATTTATCAATTAATGTTAATTAATGATACACGACATCGAATAATCCTTAGTGCTTAATTGTATTCTCTGTTATAATTGAATAGGATTTTGAGGGAACGCGTTACGTAGATTCGGTCATGCGTGTTATTGCCAATCGTCGTATCAATGTTTTTTTGTTAATCCATTTAAACCGTTTATTTCATTTTAGAATGGTACTACTCGTCGTGGTAATTATTCGAGCGACTAAATTAATCCGACGAGTGAATTGTTCTTAAGAATCATCAGAAAAAAACATTGATAAAGATCATGTTCACGGTCAAATAAATCGTTTTATTATATTATTTTCTACGATAGAGTACAAATAATTCTAGAGTACCAATAACCATAGATTACAAAATTCGAAACGATTGGAATTAGAAAAATTGTAGATAACAGGGGGCTGGGGAAAAAAAAAATCATTTCAAAAGATAAACGCGAATTAAAACTGTAATTATTTTAAAAAGAGAAAAAAAAAAGAAGTCAGGTTTACGTGACACTAGTCGATAACCATCGGTCAGTAAAAAAAACCGCGTATAAGTAATCAACGTAAACGAAAAAAAAAAAAAAAAAAGAAAAAAACACATCCACGTATATAGAATTTAATTTATGATATAATAACTATAAATTATAATCGCGTTCGATCTAAATAAAATAAACGTGTAACTAAAATCACATCGTGATTACTTAAATAACAAAGTAATCACGTTTACGTGACATACACACCCCCCACACTCATACCCACACATACAAAACTGATAACCATTGGTTAGCAAAAATCCCGTATACGTGACAGCAATCGTCAAAGTGTTAAGGAACGAGCAAACACTCGACGTCAATTTCAGGAAGTAGAAAGCAACGGGGCTTTGTAAACGGACCAAACGATCGGAAACGATTGTCACTTTCTTCGAGCAAACAGAGAGAGAGAGAGAGAGAGAGAGAATGATCGATTATCACTGACATGAGTAGGACGACGACAAATTGAGAATGGTCCCGTGCTTTTGTTAGGGGGCCCCCATTGAAAACTTTCGTGGCTTTTCCTTTCAAACTGAATGATAACTAGACGAATGCAGAAAAAGATTAAACACAAAAGAAAAAAAATAAGATACTTTTTTATCTACAAACTCTTGCACACGTATTTTATAACATTTAATTTGAGATATATTATTGTAATTTATATTATATATTTTATTTGAATTGATTTACTTGGTAAATTGGATCAATACGAAATGATTGCGTATTAGTTGAAACTACGAATAAATTAAAAATAAGATTTGAAAAAAGGAAAAAATTAGGTGGCATTAGAGATCATCGTTGTTTTGAATTTTGTCGATCGAATTAATTGGTAATTTTGAAATATTATCTCTATATATATAAATGTTAAGAATATAATAATTTGAGTATTAGAAAAGTTGAGCGTTATCGTTAATTTATCTATTCAATTTGTAGTTTTGTCGTCTAGATTCTTGTAGGTATTATTTTAGGTGAATAATTATCGAGGATTTCTCGAGGACAAACGACAGAAACGTGACTAATTGATCTATCGCAGTTTTATCCGACGTGTCGGGTAGGACACGACGTTCATAAAACATAACACACGCACACGAAGGTTGGTTCACGTTGATTAGGCACTTCCTTCTACGTGTATTATCATGCGTATGTGGAAGTAGGCTGTACATAATCTATGGAAAATATGTATGTATAACATTTTATAAGCTTATCTCGATCATAATTATAAATTCATTTTAAAATGTATTTAAAAAGAAAATTAAAGTAAAGAATAAACGAACAAATAAATATCAGGCAAATTGTTAATAATGACAAAAATGAATCAACTATTCTATTTCACAATAAAAAAAAAAAAAAAATGTATAATATTTTATAGTTACGTTGTCGTTAAAGTTTCGGTAAATATTTTTTATACTTTCAGCAAATGGATTTTAATGTTTTTTATATTAAATTAAAGTACACTCTTTTGTCTACGCGTAGAATACCATATCGAATTATAAATTTAGCATGTAAAGTTCAGGAAATATCAGAGAAAGCAATGCCGTAAATTGTGCATCTTTGCAAGTTTTTTGAAAATACAAAGATTCGTTGCAATTTTTTTATAGTGTTACAGGATGTCGTGTTGTAGAAGGACTACCTGTATATAGAAATATAAGAGCTATGTTTTGAAATGTTATCGAATTTTTCATTTAAAAATCGACACGAATAATATTTCAACGAAACACCTAAAGGAGAACAAAATTTCCGACAAATTACTTTGAGACGGTTTAAAGTGTAACCGAAAGAAAAATATCAGGTACTACTTTCTCTTTATAGATAACAATTTCTATTTTTCTATTTTTCATTGTTTTTAAAAAAGATGAAGAAGAAGAAGAAGAAGAAGAAGAGTGAGGATCGAAGGTACTTTTCACTACACTCAGCGAGCACTTAGAAAACTACGCTCTCTATCTCGTTTTCAGTCTTGCAGTTTGATCCAACAAGTGTCACTCGAGTTATCCGCGTATCCACGATTTCCTTTCGTTCGCGGTAGACCTCGTCAACAGCATCTTCCAGAGTGCACTTCAGAGAGAGAGAGAGAGAAAAAGACATATCACACAGTACAACGATTACAACCAATTCGTATATTTACTCTGCAACGTATGAAACTAACAAGACAAGGATATGGAAATCGTTGATGCGATTGGAAATTTACATTTAACATTTCTAACAATTGTAGAACTTCTATGAAACGTGTGAATGCATATACCGTAAGCAAACTATCAAGTTAATCTGTTTAACTCGAGAGATGCATATGAGAGAGAGAGAGAGAGAGAGAGAGAGAGAGAGAAAATTATAGGAAAGTTAAATATTCTTCTAGTAACGATGACATCATCACGTAACTCTCTATTAGATCTCGATATATTACATGAATTTCAATTAAAATGAAATTTTAATTTAATCACGAGATTAAGATTTAATCTAAATAAAATGATCAAATTTGTCGAATATTAATACGTTTATTTTATATAACTTTTGTTCCTGTATAGCTAACATATTATATATAGGATATTATATTGAAATATTATTTATAACAGATAAGTTAAAAAGCGTGTAATCGCGTGCAACGAATTTAGATTTCTAAGGGTCACCGAAAATACAAAAATTCATGAATATTTATCAAATTGAAAACGTGTTAGAAACTTAGACTTTCATCACTTTACCCAGGGATCATGCTATTCCTAGATTATGGGAATCGGAGATTAGGGTTACGTTCAATTTTCAGGATTGATGAAATATGAAAAAAATAATGAAAGAAATGTTATTATTAATCGAACGAGAAAGATTGTCTTTAAGGAATAACTTTTCGCATGGGAAAATTTTCAGAAATAATGCAAATTACGGATTTATGTCGATGAGGAAATTCCATTAGCGGTCTGCCCTTTGAAAAGGAGATTAGGCTAAAAACTTGAAGATAAACGGAAGGGAGAAAAAAGGAAGCGAAAAGGGAGGCTTCCCTTTTTTCTTATTTGTTTTTTTCTTCTTTTTATTTCCTTCGGGAAAAGCAGAAACGGAACCGGGAGTAAACTGGGCAACGATCCGACGAGAGGAAAAGAGAAAGAAATTTTTCTTTCGCAAACCTGATCGATACAGCCATCCAGTTCGGAAGAATCCCTTTTCGACCCTTGGAAATGTCCAAGATAATACAAAAATTGCACAAATTTTGTTGTTCATTTTAAAAATGATATTTACATCGTTGTCTCGTCGTCTTATATAATAAGAATAATAATTTACGAATAATAAATATTTAATATCTAATAGATAAAAGGGTTATCTCTCAATAATTTCATTGTTAATTATTTCTAAAAGGAAAATATATAACAAAACATTTGTTTGGTCTCTACTTATAAAGAGAGATTAAATTTTATACAAAAGTCTAATATATAATTTTTAAAAGAGAACAAAAATTATTAATCCATCTATTTTCTTATATATTTCTATATTTTATATTTTTTATTTAATTAACAAGATTCTCTCTTCCTACGAGATTATAAAATCGTTTGTCATCCATTCAAAATATACATTTTCATTAGACTTTACGTTTTAACAAGACACTAAACTAATCGTTCGTTCTTTCTTTCCTATCAATCATCGACTAGATAGTTTAGTTTAGTTTAAAGTCGGTAAACGTATAAAACAGGAAAAATTTAGGATACAAATAACGAACGTTCTATACAAGGGGTGCCGGGGAGAGGGAGGGGGAGGGGGAGGAGGGAAAAGAGATCGAGCGAGTGGGAGAAAAGTTTGAAATGACGATCCAGTGGTAAAAGGAAGATAAAAAAAAATAGGATAGATGGGAGAGGGTGAGGTTTTACCTGGAAAATTAATGGAACACCCGGGTTCCTTGCCAAAAAGTTTTCAACGTTGCCAGGCAATAAAAAATAAGCTTCGAGAACTACGATCGTCCGGTATTTTTATTTCTTTTTACGTTGTTCCTGTTGTGTCTTTAAAAAAAAAAAAACTAAAAAAGAAAAGCAAAGAAAAGAAAAAAAAACCATTGTTCGCAATATATTTTGGCATGGATTTTCTATTATCTTTAAATCGGTATGCGTTATCGTTAAAGAAAGAAAAAAAAAGTATGAAATAAAAAGAAATAGGTAGAAACGAGTGTTGAAAGG